ACTTTCGTAAGCAGTGGAGGGAATGTACATTAAGGAGGCACCCCGCTGTTCAATTGTTGTTTGAGATGATTGGCCCATAAACACTGCAGTTTCATCCATAGCAATCATGTTGGAAAGACTGTATTTAGAGAAGTCAGCATCATCAATAAAGGACTTGAATGGAAGTGCTCACTTAATAACTTGAGTATCTTCCAATCTAAACAATGTTGTACTGGTAGATCTTCTTAAAGACAGTTCACTTTGCTGAAGAAAATTATCCAGCCAGTGTTGTGATGCTTTGAAGTCTTGGGGGGCTATGTCAAACTGTGGTGCCATTGCAAGGGCAAATTCTTGAATCTGAGCCCTATTCACAACCAAAGCCTTTGCTCTCCTGTCAACAACCCATTCACAGATCAGGTCTTCCAGCTTGAAAAATAATGGTTGCCGACCTGATCCACACTTGTGCTTTTTAGCATTTCCCTTGTTTACTTGTTCAATGAGGTTACCATACTCTGTTCACCATTTTCGGACCAATCGGATACTCAACATCTTCTCTTTGCAGAAAGCAGTAAGATTTTGGCCCAAGAGTCTTCCACGATTCCTTTCTTGTACTCCACAGAGCAGCTTTTTCCTTTTGCGCTCATTTCTAGGGGTAAAAAAAAAAAAAGGAATTGGGGTATCAAGGTGGGGGGAGGGGGATCACTTAAAATGACACAGGGAGGATCAGAGGGAAGAATCAAAATGGCATAGGAGAATCAGAGGGGGGGTTACCATTTTAGTAACCCCTTTTGATCCTCCTGTGTCATTTTGATTGCCCCTCTGATCCTCCTGTGTTATTTTAAGTGATTCCCCTTCCCCCTCCCCTGTGCCACTGAACACCTTCAGCAGACATCCCCCCTACCCCTTTATCAGACATTTACCCCCTGGGACCTGCCTGGGGACTGTCACTGGGCTTGCTGGGGCCTTTATCTGGGCTGGAGCAGGGTCTGCCACTGACTGAGAACCTTCAGTCATCATGAGGGTGGCCAGGAGCATCAGGTAGTGTCACCAGAGACAGACCAGCACTCACCACCTTCGCTGCTTCCCATCTACTCTAATCCTTCTGTTCTTCTACATGCATCTGCAAAAGTCTCCTCCTCTCTCCCGCCCTGCACTCACTGCTCACTCCAACCTCTGCTCTGCCTCCACACAGCAGTGACGTCAGGACTCCGCTTGCTAGAAGCCAGTCGGGGCGGCCCTAGTGACCAGTTTACAGTAAATTAATTTTCATTATGAGACAGAGCCGAGGGGGGCCTTATTTTCGGGGGGATGCTTTCTATTTCACTCAGAAGGAAACCTGTAAGTAGGTCTTATTTTCGAAGGATGTTTTATTTTTGGGGAAACACAGTAGATATCTCCCCTATTAGGAGCTCGTTCCACAAAAAGGGGATAAACCAGCCCAACAGCCCAGGGCTTCTTTTTGTAAACACCTCCCCAGTCCTCCAGCTTCTGCAGGCTTCTGTCTTCACAGACTCCCTATCCCCGAGTAATCTGACCTTTTTTGCCATGCGGTGGTGCGCTTCTTTGAGTCCAAGTGTTCGCGCCGCCTGGGACGGGCTTTCTGGGGCTCATAGCTGCTTGGTGGTCACTGCAGCTGTGGATATTCAGGCCTCTGACAAGATCCACTTTTCCGTTAAAGATGGCGAGATTTCCCCATCCAAGCCCGTAGGTAGCTCCAGGAGGGGACCCAGCCCCACCGTGGGTGCTTCCCTGTCAGGGGCACCCTGATCAGCAGGCCCCCACCTTCTCCAGGAGTTCGCCTGTCTCTTAGCTTGCTAACAAACACTCCCAGGACAACCCTCAGCTGCTCTTTCTTTCTGCTTCGGGACAAGGCTCAGAACCCATCCATCTAGTCTTCTGCCATTTTGTCTCCTTCTCAAAAGTATTATTAATTAAACTTCCTCAACTGCTCTATTTGCCAGTTCTCTACCACATCCACCCTATTTAATTGTAACCAAAATTTCCTGCTACACTTCTCAGGAACAGATCTATGTGAGAATAAGTAAATCATCTTTTCTGTCAAAGAACAGTTTAGACAGCTGCCATTTTGGACTGTGTGACTTGGCAAGCACCATGTTGGCCATATAGCTTGCAGCTCCCCTGGTGGCCGCCATCTTGAAACAGCAAAGGCCAACCTCTCCCTTTGAATTATCCAATCATGAAAGACTGTGCACCTGAGCTCCAATCAAGAGTGAGGGACAGCTCACGTGTGTAAGGTGTTATATAGCCAAGCAGACTGCCTGCTTAGTGTGGGCATGCTTCCAGACCATGTGTGCACACCCTTCTATGTAGAACTAAAGATATTTGCCTTGCTGCCTGGCTCCTGAGTATGTTTTATGTTGTACCAGGACCCCTAAATTGGGGGGGAGAGACTCTCTTTATTTCTTACAATCTAGGTTGTGGAGCCTGACACTTAAAATATGGGGGACCCTTGTTAAGAAAAAATGATTTTTTTGCCCTAGCCAGTTTGACTCAGTGGATAGAGCATTGGCCTGTGGACTGAAGAGTCCTGAGTTTGATTCAGGTCAAGGGCACATGCCTAGGTTTCGGACTCAGTCCCTAGTGGAGGGCATGCAGGAGGCAGCTGACAAATGATTCTTTCTCATCATTGATTGTATATATCTCTTCCCTCTCCCTTTCTCTCTGAAATCAATAACATTTCTATTTCCCATACAAATAACAGTTTAGTTAATTAACTGCCTGGTACACCTCTGACTTTTTTCCCTACAATTTGTGACTACAAACCTCTCTTCATCTTTGTAATGTCACTTTTCCTATGGAATATGTAAACATAATTCAATCCTTTTGCATGATGAATCTATTATTATTATGTATAAAGATTTTGGCTTTACAACTCATTGTTGGTAATGGAAAAATTTTAGTATTGTTAAATTTGAGTAAACTGCTGCCAACCTCTGTCTAGATTCTTAAATATTATTTAAAATATTTTTAAATAATCATCACATGAGAAACATCAATGTGAAAGTGAAACATCCATCAGTTGCTTCCTGAAGGCCCACCCACCAGGGATCAAACCCACAACCCAAGCATGTGCCCTCACTGGGAGTCAAACTGGCAACCTTTCAGTGCATGGGATGGCACCCAACCCACTGAACCACATTGGCTAGAGCCATAAATATTCTTAATAACAACACTCACAGTCCAATTTGATGTCCGTATCCTAAAGAGGAGTAGAATTTGCCACCCCAAAATATGCCTCTTAGGTATAATTATTTTAGGCTTATTATTAAAATAAACCAACAACAACGACACACAAAAAAAAACACAGCATAAGTAGGAAAAGCTCTGAAAACTGAGTAGAAGTTACCCTTTTGTAAAATACATTTACGTTTATAGGAAAAACATTTGTAAGGTTATCACCTCTGTATCATGAAGAAAAGGATAACTAAAACTTTAGAAACTAATGAAGGGAGAAGGCAAGAACTGAAATCTGTATAACAAAATTACCCTTGGTTACTGACACTTTGCCTGGTAACCTCCCATATCTGGCCTCCCCCACCCCATCTTCTTTTGTCTCTAGTTGGAGATGGTATTTAAAGTGCTGGCTTGGTCCATTTTGGGGAGTTACTCAATTTTCCTGGTCTCTCCTAAGTATACAGGAGGTATACATGTTATTACACTTCTATTTGTTTTTCTCTTGTTAATCTGTCTTTCTTATGAGGGTAGATTTAAGGGGACTCTCTGCCAAGAACCTAGAAAGGTAGAAGAAACATTTTTTTCCTCCCCCACAGTCCATTGTAGATTTTGATTATTATAGTATCTTTGTCAATGCCAGTATCTCCTGCGAAGTCACCAAGAAACTAATATGAACTTATGTAGATGTCATTGGGCAAAGCCAAAGGCATGGTTGGTTTTACAAACATTTGGAGTCCATTTTTGATTAATCATATTATATTTATAGAGTAGCAATGGGTGCTAAAACTACACAAATTTCTTGAAATCAGGTAATGAAGTTGGAGTTAGTATGAAATTCTGGTAAGTGGCTGATGTTAAACTATCATGCTCTTAATTTGAGGCATGAGATATGTTCATGGTTCATTAAACACATGAAAGACTATAGAGTATTGCCTTAGACTCATTAGCATTAGAGGCAGACAGCCCTAGTTTGAGTCCTGGAGCTACTCACTACCCTGTGAAAATCTTAGTAATTACTTAATTACACATGCAAGGGACTGAGAAACCCATGAATAAACTATCCAATTAAACCCAAACTAAAGGTAATTCCAAGTCAACTTCCCTTTAGCTGGATCCCAAACATGCCTCATCCATTGTACCAACAACAAGAGAAGTCAGAGTAGAAAAAGATAGTTGTCTCAAATTGTGGTTTTAGCTAACTTTACAAAAATATGAGACGTAGTGTAGCTATATTAGCTTTATATTGCCATGTAACAAAATATCAAACTTAGCTTAAGTTTATTTAGCTCACAGTTGGGTAAGTCAGTACAGACATGTTGATTGGGTTCTCTGCTCAGGATCTCATATGACTGAAGTCAAGGTATCAGCCAGGTTATACTCTCATCTGGAGCTTAGAGTCTTTTCCCAAGCTTACATGGTTGTGGGTAGAATTCAGTTCCATGTGGTTGTAGGATTGAGGTGCTATTTTCACCATATCCATCAACTGAGGACCGCTCTAAGCTCAGATATCACCTATGTTCCTTGCCACACAGCCCCTCTATCTTCAAAGCCAAAAGTGGAAAATCTTCCTTACATTCAATCCCTTTTATGCTTCAAATTTCATTGACTTAAGGAAAGGCAATCCCTTTAAGGGTTCTTCTGATTCGACTATTGGCCTTTTGATTAACTCAATGATTTGGGCACTTGATTGCATCTGAAAAATCCCTTTTGCCATATAATGTAACATAATCATGGGAATTATATATTTACAAGTTCCACCTATAATCAAGAGGAAGGAATTACGTAAGTGCAAAGGCCATTGGGGATCACCTTAGAACTTTGTCTACCATAACCCTTCCTAGAGACCTTAGATGGTGCCCATACAAATGAAAAGGCAATAAAGCTTAAGCTTCATTAGCTTCAAGGTAAATTCAACTCTGCATTTCTGTACCCATTCAGAGTTTTTCACTTCACCTAAACAACTGTATTCTGCTAGTGAATCCCCAAACCTCACTGATACATGATCATGGATTAGTTACTGCTTACAATTTAACAGAAATCAACAGATAAAATAACATAAAACAAAATAAAATAAAACAAAATAACAAAATTGCTGAAGGAGGAATGCACGAGGCCAGAGTGGTGAGGGATTACAAATTTATTTGACCATCAGAATTGAAATCATAAAAGAGGAAGTTACTAAGAGTCTTGTAGATACTGGGGCTACTTTATCTGTTCTTAACCCTACCCATCCAAGTTTGCCTCTCCCTTGAAGTAAAGCTTCTTTCTGTACAATGATAGGGACAGAAATAGAATATTGGGGAACAGATGTAATTACAATATAAGAAATATTAACCATGCTCTGTTAACTGACTGTTTTGTTCTGATTAAAGAAGGCTCATTCTAACCTGGCTAGGAGTCAGGGCTCTCATGCATTGACTTCTAAGAGCCAGAGCATCCTGGTCAGCACAGGGCTCTCTATCCAAAGTCCTAGACTCTAGGTGCTTTCTGCTCTGGATTTGGCTGGGCAAGTGGGACCTAGGACCTCACCTGGAAATGAAGATTAACATGGAAAGATTTACAGCTTTGTTGCAGAAAACAGAATCAAAAGCTTTTGAAGACCCCCAACTCTCTGCATATTACTAAATCCTTTGAAGGTCCTCAGCCCTTTGCATATCAGTAGCCCTTGAAGACCCCCAGCCATTGCATGCCTGCAGGCCTTTGCAAATCTCCAGCCCAGCCCTTAATACCTGTAAACTGCCCATTTGGCATACCCTTTTGCCTAATTCCCCTTATAATCTTTGTCCTTCTCTCCCATATAAACAGCTGGCTTGTAGAGAGAGGTAGAGCAGACTTTTGTGGATGACATGCTGCTCTTCCATACTGCTGGCAGTATTGTGAAAGGGCAGGGCGGGGCGAGGATGAGCTCCCAACTCCGCCCCATAGGGCGGAGTTATCCCTAGCCCTCAAAACCCCTGCACTGGGAGAAATTCGCTCTCTTCCGCCATGTTGCCGGCATGAGTGGGAGGAGCCCATTGCTAGCATGGTACAGGCTCTTTTGTTTATTGCATCGGACTCGGCTCCCTGGTGGTCCTTGGGGATCACGAAGTCTGGGCATAACAGATGGGGGAATTTGTCCGGGATCCCCAGGACCATTAGGGAAAACCCGGTCCGGAGAGTCTGACTGGCCGCGGTAGGTGTGTGTGTGTCTGTGTTTTTGTGTGTGCGCTCTGGAGGGATGTAAAACCCCTCATGGAATTGGTGCCCAAAGACGCCTGGTGGACGCACCATGAAGGCCACGGGCAGGAGGATCAGAAGACGTTCTGACCTCCCTGGAGGGCCCTAGAGGGACCCTCATGTGGGGAGAAGGATAAGCCTCTCCCAGGACGAGGTGAGCGGCGTGAGCCGTTGCCTCACCTGCGGAAAGTGAGCCTTTCCCAGGTCTGAGTTTGGTATCTGTGGGCGACATGGCGCCCCAGGATGGAGCTGGCGAAGTGTGGCTGGCATGGCGGTGCGGGCCCCCTGGCGGCGTTGGGTCCGAGGGGGGGCTCCCTCGGGGCTCAGTCTGCGCGTTGGAGCGCGGCTGGGCAGTGGTGGCCTCGCTCCGGGAGCAGGCACTTGTATTAATTTGCTGGCTGCCTGGGGAAGGGGAGGTGGAGCCGGGAAGCCGCTTGGGCGACCCGTGCTTTCTCCTCGGGGCCGCCTGAGTAGCATGGCTGGGGCTGCGGCCGAAGCAGCCTCACTCAGGGGGCCTGGGCTCGAGGGGCCTGGGCAGGCGTGGAGGCATCCGGTCGCTGGCGACATCGGGTATGGGAGAAGAGCTCAAGGGCGAATCTCTGTGCTCAGTAAAGAGAAAAGGCCAGTTCAAAACGAGTGCGCATAGTTTTGGGCTGTGCTTAAAACTTTTCTGTGTACAGAATGAGCTTTAAATGTGGTGGAGATAACTGGGAGATAAATTAAAACTGGTTTCCCAAGACATTGTAAGCAGCTTTTGAAATTCCCCGCCATGAGGTGGAAACTAGAGGGTAATGGTAACAAGTTTAAGTGAATGGTGGTGAATGGCCATGAATGGTGGTGAATGGCCGGGAGTCTTCAGCTAAAGAATGTGTTCATTTGCATTTGAATGCTGAAAAAAAAAATGTGTTGCTGAAACTTTACCCTAAGTAAGTAGGATGTATTAGAAATGTAATGTTATTAATCTAAGGAATGCCAAATTTATTTGACTTGCCAGCTTTAAAAGTTCAAAGTATAAATTGAATTAGGAAAAGTTAATTGCAGTAACTAGATGCCTAGAATATGGCAGGCTAACTGTATTATATGTTTTAAGAATAAGCAGTAATGATCAAAGATCTCAAGGATTGATTTATTCTCATTTGTCAGATGAAAAAGTACGTAATGCTTACACTTAAAAAAATTATTTTAAGTCAGTGATGCAGTATTTTTTTAAGTCAGTTTTTCTAAAGTAATGTTTTATATTTGATTTGTTTTGTTTTGCTTTTCTCATATGCCATTGTTGTTGAATTTAGGCTTGTACCTGCATCTTGTATTTTGTTTAAACTTTGGGAATCATTTTTGTTTTCAGTCATGTGTATCTACTTTATAGGTTTAAGTAGACTTCATCACAAAGGTTTATAATTTATTTAGAATTGTGTTAAAACAATGTGAAAACAATTATTTGTATGATTTAACCCCCTGCGACTGCTTGGACAATTTTCACCGATGTTCTGCAGGGGGGAGTAGAGGGGCTTAGAAATGTAGATAGATCTGTATCTGTAGGAAAAATGTGACATTTTAAAATTCAAGCTGTTAGAGGCCTGGGAACAGGTACTGGACCTGCTCCCTCCTCCCTTGCCTTTTCTTTAAAATTTGAGGCATGGTTATGTATTTTTGAAAGATAAGATTTTAATAAAAATTATAAAGAGTATGTCCTGACAGGTTAGCTAGGAGAGGCAAGCCTGTTAGTTTCCTGATGGGCATGGGGGCACCCTATTTAGTCTTGAGAGAGCCAATAGGACCCGTACATCAGCCCAGGAAGCCACCGGACAAACTGCCTGTTTTCCTTGGACATCAAATGAAAGGGCAGGGCTGGGCGAGGATGAGCTCCCAAGGGCGGAGTTATCCCTAGCCCTCAAAACCCCTGCACTGGGAGAAATTCGCTCTCTTCCGCCATGCTGCCGGCATGAGTGGGAGGAGCCCATTGCTAGCATGGTACAGGCTCTTTTGTTTATTGCATCGGACTCGGCTCCCTGGTGGTCCTTGGGGATCACGAAGTCTGGGCATAACAATTGGAATAAACATTCATATATGATTTTTTAAGAAAGAAAGAAAAGAAAAAACCTTTCACAATCTCTTATCAAGAACAGACCAGAAAATATTGTCTTTTTAACGGAGAAAAAGAAAGTTAAGTTTTAGTTTTATATGAGTATACTATTGACATTAAAGCTTATTTTTAAAACCCTTATAATTAATTTGTTCAATTTTAGCTAGTTTGACTGGGTAAGATTGTCTCTCAAATCAAGGGGTGTGGTTGTTATAATACCCATATGGATGAATGTCATGTGCATAAAAAACAGACAAGAATAAATAAAATATATACCATATAAGATATAATTACAGCCTTGGCCAATGTGGCTCAGTTGGTTGAGCATCATCTCATGCACCTAAAGATCACTGGTTTGATTCTTAGGCCACATACCCAGGCTTCAGGCTTGATCCCCATTTGGGGTGCATATGGGAAGCAACCTATTGATGTTTCTGCCACTCTCTTCCTCTCTCTCTAAAAATAAATAAAAGTATATATAAAAAAAAGACACAGCTACAAATATACAGGGTGTCCCAAAAAATGTATATGCACTTTGTTATTATTATTATTTTTTAAAATATTTTTTATTGATTTTTCACAGAGAGGAAGAGAGAGGGGTAGAGAGTTAGAAACATCGATGAGAGAGAATCATGGATCAGCTGCCTCTTGCACACCCCCCACTGGGGATATGCCCGCAACCAAGGTACATGCCCTTGCTCTATCCACTGAGCCAAACCGGTCCCGACTGTATATGCACTTTGAATAATTATAAAAGCATTGTTTATTAAAATACATTTAATTTTCAAAATTTATAGATATTGTATATACATTTTTGGGACACCCTATATATATGAATACATAAAGGTATTTGAATATTGTTAATGAAAAAAGAAACCTATAAAGAATTTTTGTGAGTTTATTTGAGCCAAACTATTGACATATGCCAGGAAGCAGAACCTCAATGAATTGAGATAATGCTCGAGAGAATGAAGGGTTATGTCTACATTTATACGTTGCAATCAAAGGAAAGGGATGTAGGTGAGTTACATGAAATTTATTGGTGATAGATGTGAATGAAAAGAGTCACATGCTAACCTGACAAGTTCAAGGGAGGCCTACGTGGCAGTCTTGCAAACTCAGAGACCTAAAATAACCACAAAAGATGGTTTGAAAATTAAATATCTAACTACAAACAGGTTATAGTGGGTGACCTAGGCCGATATTTCACTTGACAAAGATCAACTTAGATCTTCTTTACTGAGCCCATTGCCTTTCTGCCTCTAAGATAACATATCTGTGAGATGTCTGGGTAACTTGTAACTTCCTTTTTATCCCGACCCCTCAGGGCACAACAAATGGCACCGGGACATTCCATCATTGTTATTGTTATTGTTATCAAGTTAATTGTCAACTGTTAATTACGTTAAAGTATCCTGTATCCATTTCTGTAAAAGAAGCACATGTCCATCATTTCACCTTTTACCCTATCCGACAGGTTTCCCCTGCTTTACTCTGTCCCACCTCCCTAATCTATCACCAATAAATTTCATGTAACTC